GGGCCCGCCAAGCCCTGGAGATGTCCAGGCCAGACTCCTTCCTGGCTGCTCCCTCGTCCCTGGCCCGGAGACGCCGCAGGCCTGTGTGGTGTGACACACCTCGACTGTGGCCCCTGGGCCAGATGGACATGAGGAAAGAACCTCCTGCCCCAACCAGAAGACCTCGAGGGACGGAGGGCTCCTCCGGCCTGCTGAGGCCAGTGTCCTCCTGGCACCCCGAGGAGGCTTTCCAGGGACACAGATGGGGCCAGGGTAGGAGAGAGTCACCCGCAGAGCACTCTGTGGCCACCTGCTGCCAGTGCCACCCCGTCCTCCCCTCAGCCCTGGTAAAGGAGGCACCTAAGGTGCTGGGGGAGGCGGGAAGAGCTCTGGCAGGCGAGGAAGTCCCAGCAGAGAGGACAGAGGCCAGCCATGGCCCGGGAAGCCACAGGTGTGGCCTCTAGGATGTGGCAGAGCTGCTGGCACCTGCAGGGAGACACTTGGCAGTGGTGGGTTCTCAGCTGTCACTAGCCCAGTCACCTGGGGCCCCCTCTACCTGGGACATGTGTCTCTGTGCCCCTGGGACTGACCTGGCCCCTCTGTCCCAGGGGACAGGGGACAAACAGCATGGAAGGACTGCTGGGCGGGCGGGGGCTCGGGTGCCCACTGGCGGCTGCAGGCTGGATGCTGACAGAGGCGGCAGCGCCCCACCATAGTGGGCACCCCTCCAAGGAGCCTGTCACACGGACATGCTGGGCACCCGGAGGGGGTCCCACTTGGCACACAGCGGAGAAGCAGGCAGAGTTCTGCTGACAGGCGCCTCTCCCCCAGGACCACCTCTCCCACCTAGACGACCCTCTGTTTCCTGCTGGCCTGTGTTCCCACAGAAAGATGACCTCACCCCAGCCCTGCACTTGGACACTACCTCACCATTCAGTGTGGACTCAGAACCAAGCTGAATGGGAGGCACAGGCGCTGACCCTTTCAGCCTTTCTATACCCCAACTGTCTTTCAGACACTGGAAAGGAAGCCCTCAGGCCTGCCCCACTCCTCTAAGCAGGCTCCCGGGGTGTGCTGGGCACCTGGGGACCACCGGGCAGCTCAGCGGCTCGCCACACTGCCAGGGAGGCTCTCAGGCCAGAGCTGACGGCCCGGACGCAGAGCATCTGGAGAGAAGCGGAACTGCAGATGATCATAGGTGTACATCACCAGGGGTCACCAGCACTGGAAAGGAAACCACTGGTAAGTGACAGAAAGCCAGATGGAGCTGTCGTAGTCGTACGAGATCCTCCCGGGGACGATTAGAAGAGAAGTTTCTGAGAAATGCCTTTTCCAATGCCCAGGGGGTGCCGTAGTATGGGGAAAACACAGCAGCACAATGAGGCTGCAGAGGCGCAGGTCTGTGCTCCCGATGCTAGGCCACAGAGCCAAGCCCGCCAGAAACTGGCATGTCTGTCCACAGACTTCCGAGTGTTAAATTAGCAGCTGGCATGGTAACTATTTCCTCGTCAGCTGCCGAAGCTTAAAGGCAGGATACATTTCAGGAATGACAGGTTAATAACTGAGCAACCTGAACGATTATTGACTCGAATGTCCACAGACTGATGTGCTCACTTGTATTTTGTTGAACGTCTTCAGAGGCTTTACCTTGTGAGACCAGGTGTCACCACGAGATGCCTCTGCATCTCATTCAGGAGTCGGAGGGACAAGAGTCTCTGCCCTGCCCTGAAACCGTTCAAAACCAAGGGAGGGAAATGAGTGTAGAGGGATCAGAACAAGCCATCTGCCGTTGGAGCGCGTCTCAGAGATGAGGAAAGCTAGGGGTCGGCGGAGGAGAGGAGCTAGAGGGCACACCAGCCGCCAGGGCCAGTGTGGGTAAAGAAAACGCTCCAGGGGACCCAATCCTACAGGCGCTCTGGGCCAGCAGGGCCTAGTGCCTTCTCTTCTGTTCCGGGTCTGCTGCCGTTTCTGCAGTGGGCTGGGGCCTGAGTGTCACTTCCTTCTGTCCCTCTGCCTGGGTTAGATTAGAGAGGTAGGGTTTTAATGGTGGACTTGATGAAGATTGAAGACCCGTTTCTCCCCCTGGAGACTAGCCTGATTTGGACAAATGGAGGAGAACAAAGCGGGCCCTGCTGTCCTTGGGAGGAAACCTGTTCTGTGTCCGAGTTTGCAGCCGAGCCTGCTCCTCCCTGGACGTGGGGAGGGCAGTCCACAAACACCGTGCCCGGGGGACACCTCCTCTGCCTCCCAGGCCCACCCAGTCACACCATGTCTGCCGCCTCCTTTATTGGTGCTGCCGGTTGGGTGAGCGCGAGCTGGAGCCTGGGCTGGGGGGCAGAGAGCCGCCACTGGGGGCTCGCAGGGCGTGAGGGTCAAGCTGTTGACTGGGCAGGCTGTCGTCCGTTGTCCCTGATTCTTCGCTGCCTTCCTCCTTCTGGATGCTCTGCTGCTCCGGACACTCAAAGTGGACACAGTGGAACACCTGGGTGAGGAGAGGAAAGGAGTTGGTGAGTGAGGGGTTGGCTGGGGACCTCGGGCTGCCAGGGGCAGTCCTGCCCAGACACCAAGCAGCAACTAGGAGACCCTGGACGCACCTGACCAGTCAGGCACCAAAGTCATGGACACCGTGACCCAGGTTCCTGCAGAATGTTCTCACAGGATGACCACGTTTGGGTGGTTTTTGTCTCATGGGCTCTTTCTTCTTTTGCTTATTTTTAATTTTGGGGGGTGCTAGGGATTTAACCCAGGGCAGCTTGCCACTGGGCTACACACATCCCCAGACTGCACCCGCTTCTTTTTGTCTCATTTAGACAGGGCCTCACTGAGTTGCTTAGGGCCTCGCTAAATTGCTGAGGCTGGCTTTGAACTTGAGATCCTCCTGCCTCAGCCTAAGGCTGGGATTACAGGCGTGTGCCACTGCGCCTGTCTTTTTCTCCCTTTTAATTAATTTACCATTGAGGTGGTGGCCGGGTCCAGTCAGCAGGTGTGGATTGTGGTGGTGGTCACACGACTCTGAACCCACTGAGGGCACACTTTCTGCAGGGTGAGCAGCACGAATGGGAAATCTCCCCCCATAGGCTGTGGTAACAAGAGAACCAGCAGGGATCACCCTGGAGAGGACCCGGGCACCCTGGCAAGGCCTACGAGGGCTGAGCGAAGCCCGCGGGTAGCTGTGCTAGGGATGGACTCCAACCCTGCCTGGCCTGGCCTGGCCTGGAACAAATGCCTTACCCGAGGAGCTGGCCACCTGGTTGAGGGCAGGTGACCCCCCTCCAGAAGCCAGGAAAAGGCTGCCCACCTGCAGCAGGTCTGACTGGCAGCACCATGGAGCCCCAGGTCAGTGCTGCTGGCCCCTGTGCACACGGCACATGCTGAACATGCTGGGCGGGTGGGGAGCCCTGGCCCCTGGCTCCAGAGAGACCCCGACATGCCTGGTACTGAACAGGCAGTGACCGCTGAAGGGTGGGCTGGGGGGAGTCAGGAGCCCCATCAGAGGCCCAGACAGGAAGGCTGCCCGCAGCCCAGCCTCACACGGAAAATCCTCTCTGCTGTCCATCAGCCGGATCTTTCTGGGGCTCCACTTCCCAGTGCCCATCGAGCTCTGAGGGGCAGGAATCCCACCCTCTTCAGTYGTGGTGGTCAGATCGACCACCCAGGGTGCAGGCGGCAGTCTTAAGGGAATCAATTTCAAAGGTGTGCTTTCTGAACCTGCTGAGGGCGCGCCTGAATTCACAGTCTGGGCGTCTCTGCTACCCCGCGAAGGCGGCCTCGCGTGCCCACTCACCCAGGAGCACCACCCAGGCACCCAGGCTCCCTCTTGCCAGCTCAGGCATAGGATGGGGTGTGGCCTGTCATGTCACTGGGCTCTGAGGTGTCCTGGAACCCCATAGGTGGCCTGGCTTAGAGCTCTGAATTCAGAGCCTCTGAAGGGTCCACACGAGTGAATTATTTTAATRCAGCTGGAATTTTTCCAGAATTAYGAAAATATTCTCAGGATTCACTGGCTAAATTCCACGGATAAAACTTTTCCATAATTACTATCAGATTTTTGTGTGCTTTATTCAACTTACTTAAAATCTATTTTATCAAATCATGTCTTCAAATAGTTCCTGATATTTAGTCAACCCACATCTTCCATCTTATGTTTATTTTTCTCATATTTACAAAACTATTTTTAAACCTGYGGTGAAACACTTAATCTACGTCTCAATCTAACGCGCTCAACATGTCATACTTTCTTCCAAGCTCTCCTGGGGGCCATGCAGACACCGTGTCTGAGGCCACAACCCCACAGCACTTGGGAGCAGCTCGGCCGCGGGTGTAGTTCTTCTTAAATGTCCAGGCAGGACCTGGAGGGAAGTAGAGGACTTGGCTGAGACGAGTCCACACGAGGGGAGGGTCTGGAGAGGGATAGAGGCCTCAGGGAGGAGACCTCAGACCTCTGAGTGGTGTCTGAGGAGATCTACCAACAAAGCGGGGAGAGAGGGGTCGGGGACAGTGAAGAGGGCCTGATGCGGTGGGGGAGATATGACTTGCAAACTGTCACTGATTCTGGGTGCAAATGCCGAGGCCAGGGCAGGTGGGCAGCTGGCTGTGGAGATGTGCATGGAGGCCTGGCAGGTGGGCGCTTAGGTGGACAGCCACTAGCAACAGGTCCCATGGAGCCGTGTGGCGGGCCACACTGCTGGGCCTCCCCAGCCCACCCAGCAGCTTCATCTCCATTCCCTTCCCTGGGCTCTGGATTTGCTGGTGGTTGTTGACCGTGCTCGTGGTAAGGGCCCACATAGGTGCAGGATAGGGCCGGCTGGACACCCCCATGCTCCTGAGGAGGTGCAGTCAAAGGGCTCTGGAGGAGCCTGGCGGGCAGGGCTGGCGGTGCTCTCCCAGGGGAGCACCGGTCCTGCCCAGCGGGAGCCGGAGCATGTGTGCCCTTCTGCTGGAGAATCATGTCCACGGAGGGAGACGCACGTGCTGTCTGCTGTGGAACTATGTGAGGATGTAAATGCTGTGCTTTCCTTCCCAATTCAACTGGCTTTTGCACACTCTGGCTTCAACTCATTTAGTGACCACTGTTCTGAATTTCACATTCCAGGCTTGGCCACGAAGCCTCCCTGAGCCTGCGCATTTCCGGGCCTGCCCTCTCCCTCTGGCAGCGGCTGTCCTCTCCTAGGTGAACTGCTTCCTCTCCTTAAAGGCTGGTCACGAGGACAGAGGGCTTCCTGAGGACCCTTACTGCTCCTCAGTGCTGGTGGCCGCATCGGGTTAGCACCTTTTCTCCCCTTCCTCCCTTCCCTTGGTGCAAAAGTCCACTTCTGGTCCAGCTGTGGGCCCACACCTATCAAGCGCCAGCAGGGCCAGGGTCAGACGGGGGCCCTACGTGGAGATCTGCAGGCTCTCTGGGCCACAGCACTGCCTGGGCTGAGCAGGGGGAATCTGAAGACCTCCCTCTGGGTGGCCAGGACTGACCTGTCCTCCTCTACCAGCCTTGCGTTCTTAAGCTTCTGCAGAACAGGAGGGTCTCTGGGCTTGACTCTTAGTCCCTCCTCCTTTAGGAACACACCTCTGCCAGGCAGGGGAYAGGGCAGGCTCTGAGGAGCATCCTTGCCGCACACTACAGCTTCCAAGCTGGATGCATACCCCATTCCCTTCTGCAAGACCACCAGGCACCCTCTGAGCCCAGGGCCCGTGAAGGAGGGCTCCAGAAGGGCTGCCTGGACTGCGGACCTTGGACAGGGGGGCACTCCGTCCTGCCTGTCCTTCTGTGTAATCCCCACGCTCAGTCCTGTCAACACCTCTGGAGGCTGTGCCGCCGTGCTGCTGACACTGATCCCTGAGTTGACTTACATGGGCCTCCTCCCTGTCAACTCTCCCCTGTGCCCTCTCCTGCTGAATGGTCCCCTCTCCTCTCGTTCTTGCCTCCTCTCCAGGACTATGACTGTCCAGATGAGCCAGGTGAGCTCTTCCCCAGATGCCCACAAGCATCCAGGCGCCTCCTGCCTGTGGCCGCCCCTCTCCAGCCTCTGGCCCCTGATCTGTCACTTCCCATCACCCTCAAGGACCAAGCTTCATTGTCCACGCTGCAGCTCAGGGTCTTGCCCAGGAATAAACAAATCAATAAAAACCCTGCACTGAGAAATAAAAAGGTCTCAGGATGGCCTGGTGGCTTATCCTGTACAATGTGCTTCTTTTCCAAGGACGGTCCCCATACATCACGCAGGGCGGGTGCCTGCTCCACTATGCTGGGGGGGGGTCTGGGGAGACCAGCTGCCCGGYGGGAGACCTAAAAGAGGCCGATGGCCTGGTTCTGGTCATTACTCTCGTCCCACCGTTATCCCCATTTCCAGACAAATTCCTCTCATCTACTGCAAGTGCTGCGAACTGCACCCTGTGTTGAGCCCGCCAACAACCCGTCTTCAAATAATAATGCAAATGGTGCCGATTCCCAATATACCTGGGGACCCTGACGGGAGCCTCCACGGCTGGTTCTGTGTGTTCCTGCAGCTCCTTCTTCCACAGAAATCACAACTATTCCTCTTTCTGACACCACAAGCTCATGACAGGATCTTCCATCCAAGTTAAGGGTACCCTGGAAAGTCCCAGGCCATACTGGCCCCAACAGTCCCCTGCGTGCTGTGGCCCAGGTACAGCTACCGCGCATCAGAGCTGCATTCCAGTCTGTGACCCACAACCCCCACCGCCTTTGGTGCGGATGAGCCACTCTGGGCTCTTGAGCCAAAGGACAATGACAGAGGCTCCAGAGCAGAGGGCGTGGGAGGTGAGGATGGACAGGAGGGGGCAGAGGATGGACAGGAGGGGGCAGAGGATGGACAGGAGGGGCAGGGCACAGCCCAGAACAGGCAGGAGCCAGCGCAAGGGCTCTGGAGAAGCACCATTTCTTACATTTAAAAAAACCGCAAAAGAAATGCACGTTTGTGGTGACAAATTCAAATAATACAAGTGTTTAAAGAAAGTAGATGGCAGACCTTTACACTCTGAAATCCCCTGAAGTGAAGCGCAGCTTACAATCAAGAGGAAGGAGTCATTTTTAAAGAAAAACAACACAGAATTTGACAGCAGACTCACTAAGGACTGATAAAGGAAGGAAAAGGGTCCACAGGGACCAGGGACTGTCGGCTACTGGGRAAGGCGTGGCGGCTGCCACACTGCGGTCACTCAGGGTCCTCCACCCTTCGCTGGATTTGCTGTTTTAYCCTCCAGTGACCTTGCTGGGCACCAGCTCTAACCAGGCATGTCCAGCACATGAGCCCAAGGTCAGGACCTCAGGGACAGGGGCAGGGCAGGCAGAGGCGCCTCTGTGCCAGCACATTARCTCTTCTGCCTACAGCGGGAAGCTGGGATTCACCCTCAGGGCTGGGCGGCACCAAAGCCTGGAACTTTCCACAGCATCAAGACCCTGCCTCCCGCCACCATTCTGACAGCACAGGAAGACGGCAGACTCTGCCTGGAAGGGAGGCTCAGAAA